CCCGTTGCGGAACATAGGCTCCGGACGCGCAGGCTCAGTGGCCACGGCTCACGGGCCTAGCCACTCCGCAGCATGTGGGATCTTCCTGGACCGGGGCACGAACCCGTGTCCCCTGCATCGGCAGGCAGACTCTCAACCACTGTGCCACCAGGGAAGCCCCAATAGTAGTTTCTTTTGATGGACTAAGCCAGCCTTGTTTCCAGGGGACTGTCTTGTTTTTCTAAATAGAGAAGTCCTCTAATTAGTCTATTGTGCCACATGTTTCAGAGTCACAAAGACAATGGAGATTCACCAGAACTGCCTTCATGTTTGAAAGATATTTTTGCTGGGTATAGAATTATAGGTTGACACTTTTTTTTTCTTTTAGCACTTTAAAGATGTTATTCCATTTTCTTCTGGTATTCATTGTTTCTGATAAAAAGTCAGTTATAATTCTTATTGTCATTCCCCTGTATGTAATGTCTTTTTTCCCTTGCTTAAGATTTTCTCTTTGCTTCTTAGCAGTTTTACTATGATGTGGCTAGGTGTGGTTTTCTTCATATTTATCTTGCTTCAATTCATTGGATTCCATGGTCTTGTGGGTTTGATATTTTGGTCAAATTTTGGAAATTTTGAGTCGATATTTCTTCAGATAATTTTTCTGTCCAATTCTCTTTTTGCTCTCCTCTAGAATTCCTATTCCATATGTGTTAGACTGCTTGATGCTGTTCTACAGGTATTGAGACTCTTCATTCCGCACCTGCCCTCCTCCAATCTAGGCTTCAGCCTGGTTGACTCTATTGTCTTGTCTTCAAGTTCACAAATCTTTTTTTGTGTCCAAGCTGCTATAAATTCCATTCAATAATTAAAAAAATTTTTTTTCAGATATTGTATTTTTCAGTTCTAGGATATCGTTTAGTTCTTTTTAAAAATTTTCCTTCTTTCTCTTGAAATCTCCCATCTCTTCACTCATTATATCTACCTTTCCCTATAGATTCTTTAACATATTTCTGCTTTTTAAAGAAAATAATATTGAACCCACCCTTTTTCTCCTAGGATAAGTGTCTTGTTAAGTGGTGACAGAAGAAAAATTTAGCTTTATAACAAAATATTTGTTAATAAGTTGCTGTATATCTTCTTTGGTGAGGTGTCTTTCAGATCTTTTGCCATTTTAAAAATTGGGTTATTTTTGTTGTTGTTGAGTTTTAAGTATTCTTTGTTTATTTTGGATACAAGTCCTTTTTCAGATATATGTATTGCAAATATTTTCTCCCAGTCTGTGGCTTGTCTTTTCATTCTCTTAACAATGTCTTTTGCAGAGCAGAAGTTTTTTATCTTAATGAAGTCTAACTTACCAGTTTTTTTCTTCCATGGGTCACACTCTTGGTGATGTATTAAGATTCATTGACAAGCTCCAGGTCACCTAGATTTTCTCCTGTGTTATCTTATAGAAATTTTATAATTTTGCATCTATCATTTAGGTCTGTGATCCATTTTGAGTAATTTTTTGGAAGATGTAAGATCAACACCTATATCTATCAATTTTTTTTGAATGCAAATATCCAGTTGTTCCCAGCACCATTTATTGAAAAGACTATCTTTTCTCCATCGATTTGCCTTTGCTCCTTTGTCAAAGATCAGTTGACTATATTTATGTGGTCTGTTTTGGAGCTCTATTCTATTTGTCTAGTCTATCTGACATATTTATCTGTAGTTTCACTAATACCACACTGTCTTGATTATTGTAGCTTGTGTCTTGAAGTTAGGTAGTGTCCATTCTCTAACTTTGTTCTTCTTCTTCAGTATCATATTGGCTATTCAGATCTTTTGCCCTTCCATATAAACTTTAAAATTAATCTGTCAATGTCCACGAAACAATTTGCTGGCATTTCAATTGGGATTACATTGAATGTATAGATCAAGTTGGGAAGAACTGACATCTTGATAATACTGAGTCTTCCTATCCATGAACATGTAACACCTCTCCATTTATTTAAATCTTCTTTGATTTCTTTCATCGGAGTACTGTGGTTTTCCTCATACAGAGCTTTTGCATATTTTGTTAGGTATATTCCTAAGTAATTAAATTTTTTGGTGCTACCATAAATGGTATTTTTCTTTTAAATTTCAAGTTCCAGTTGTTCTTTGTTGGCATATAGGAAAGCAATTGGTTTTTATATTTTTTATATGATTATTTTATATATTAACCGTGTGTCCTCAAACCTTGCTATAATTGCTCATTAGTTCCAGGTTTTTTGGTTTTGTTTTTGTCAGTCCTTTTAGGTTTTCTATATAGACAGTCATGCCATCTGAAAAAAAAGACAGTTTTATGCCTTTCTTCACAGTCTGTATACTTTTTATTTCATTTCTTGTCTTATTGCATTAGCTAGGACTCCCAGTATGATAGTGAATAGGAGTGTTAAGAGGGGACCTCTTTATCTTGTTTCTGATCTTAGTGGGAAAGCATCTAATTTCACACCATTAAGTGTGATGTTAGCTGTAGTGTTTTTTGTAGATGTTCTTTGTCAAGTTGAAGAGGTTCCCCTCTATTCCTTTGCTGAGAGTTTTTATCATAAATGGGTATTGGATTTATTAATTATTGATTCATTTTCTAAAAGATATGGGCCCTTGGCACATTTTAAGTTGGGTTTTGTCTTTTTATTATTGAGTTGTATGAGTTCTTTATTATTTGGATACAAATACCATATCAGATATTGATTTGCAAATATTTTTTCCCATTTTGTGGGTTGTCTTTTCACTTTCTTGATGGTATCCTTTGAAGTACAAAAGTTTTAAATTTTGACGAAGTCTAATTTATCTATTTTCTTCCTTCATTGCTTGTGTTTTTGATGTCACATCTAAGAAAACATTGTTTAATCCAAGGTCACAAGAATTTACTCCTGTGTTTTCTTGTAAGAGTTCTTACACTTAGGTCTCTAATACATTTTAAGTTCATTTTTTGTATATGGTGTGAGGTAGAAGTCCATCTTCATTCTTTCACATGTGAATATCTGGTTGTCTTAACACACATTTATACTTTTTAAAGTCTTTGCTAATTATAAAATCTAGGTCAAATATGGATCTGTTTCTATTGACCAGTTTTTCTCTTAACCATGGAGTATGCTTTCCTGTTTCTTCATATATATAGCTTTTCTTGTTTATTGGACTGTTATGTATAATACATCATAGGAACTCTAGACCTGCATTGCCTTCTCGTGAAGAACGTTAATTTTTGTTCTCACAGGCAGTTAAATTCTGACAGATCATCTTGACCTTGTGGCAGCTAGGTTTTACGTTTTATTGGGGCAGGTGTATTTCAGTTTTGCTCTTAGTCCTAGAGCTAATCTCTTAGTCCTAGAGCACAATTTTTATTCCTAAGGTATGGCCTTTTAGGTGTTTCACTGGAAATTCCCAAATGTTTACCAAGCTCCTCTAATTTGGCAGAACTTGAACTCCAAGGTCTATTTCTCCTCCAGTGGCAGAAACTGAATCTCTCTTCAACTCTCAGTTTTCCAGCTGTATTTTACTCAGTCACCTTGGAATATTACCTGATTCTGTGCAATTCAGGAGCCAGCCAAGAAATTGAAAGGAATTTATATGTGGATTTGGGGGCCTACACCCTTACGGCTTCCCTCTTACTGGGGATTTTTCCTTTTCAGTTTCCAGCACCATTGGCAGTCTCAAACTCTATTTACCACTTCCTCAGGCAAATAAGACTATGGGTTTCTTCTGGAGTTCTATCTGCCCCATGATTTGCCAGCTAGGGAGTTTCCTTAACTACATCAGCATGGATTTACTCTGGTGTGGTCCCCTTATTTCAAGAGTTGGATCCTTTCCAGTTTCTGCCAGCTTTTGATAGCTTTTCTAGCCTTCAAACAGTTGTTTTAACACATTTTGTTCAGGGAATTCCCTGGCGACCCAGTGGTTAGGACTCTGCGCTTTCACTGCTGAGGGTGCGGGTTCGACCCCTGGTCGGGAAAGTAAGATCCTATAAGCCGTGTGGCGCAGCGCGGCAGGCAATCAATCGATCAATCAATCAATAAAATAAAATATTTTGTTCAGAGTTTATTATCGTTATTGGCAAGAGGATTAGTCCAATACAAACTACCCCACCATTTCCAAAAGCCAGAAGGAACAGACTAAGGAATTTGGACTTTATGCTGCAGGCTAGAAGATTTTAAATGGAGGATTAAAAGGTTGAGTTCATGCTTTTGGGGAGATTAGTATGGGGATCGTTTGTAGAATGGATTGGTGAGGGGAAAGCCAAGAGACAGGGAGGCAGTCAGGAGACCCCTGCAGTAGTTCAGGAGAGAGGGGACCAAGGCCTCAATTAGGAAAGAGAGACAGTAGAAATGGAAAAGTATGGTCACATGGGGGAGATTAAAAGAAAAGATCCAGTTTCTGAGAGGGACTATGGGGATTTCCCACATGGAAGGGTTTTTTTGTTTGTTTTTGTTTTTGCTTATTTGCCACACCATGGCATGCGGGATCTTAGTTCTCCGACTAGGGATTGAACCCACGCCCCCTGCAGTGGAAGCATGGAGTCCTAACCACTGGACCGCCAGGGAAGTCCCTGGAAGGGTTTTTAAATGACCAATGAGGATTACCATCATTCCATATCAGAGAGTCTGGCCAGGTTAAAGTTTATTCCAGGGTGTGTCTCTGTGGAGGCTTGAAAACTTTATTCACCTGGTGTTAGTCCTGGGCAAATGACCTGACTGAAACCTGAGTCACTGCTGGTCTTCAGGTCTCCCTGGCTCACCTGAGGGCTATTGAAGGCCACCTAAAGTCTACTTAGAGCTTGAGCCTGGGTCAGTTGTGGAAACAGCCTGTTTGCCCCCAGCCCCAAGGTCTGGAGTAGAACTGGACCAACCAGGGGAAAGATAGGAAAAGGGGTTACCAATGCAGGCCACTCTGCCTGGACACATCTCAGCATCCACTGTCGGGGCCTGTTCTCTTCAAGTTGGCAGCCATTCCTCCTTGACCTTTTCTGCTAGCTTTGTTGCTTTCTCCTTCAACAGGTCAAATGGATGATGTACTGGATTATATTTGCACTTTTCACCACAGCAGAGACATTCACCGACATCTTCCTTTGTTGGTAAGTACTGCAGGAATTGGGACTTTTCCAGGAAAGATGTTGCCAAGTGTCAGGGAGAGGTGGGAAGGTCTGAAAGCAGTCTCAAACCTTATTAGCACAGAGAAGCAGGTGCAGGAATGCTAACTGGAACATTTCAAATCAATTAGGCTGTAAAATTGTTCTTCAAGTAAATAGTTATTGGATGACCATGTAAGAGCAGGTATTGTTCTTACAGTGATATAATGATGGGCAAGATAAACACAATTCCTCAATTAATGGAGCTGGTAAAGAAGCATTCTTATGTGAAAAAAATAAAAAGGAGAAAAACAGTACACAAAAGTGTGCAATAAAACTAAGTTTCTCCCCTACACCATTCACTCTCACCGTTACTGCTTTTCACAGTTGTATATACTTTTTAAAAATGTATGCGTGTGTATACGTACACACATATACACATACTTTTCCTTTTTTAAAAAACAATAGTACTGTAGTATACCTAACAGTTCTCACTTTGTTTCTTAAATTTATTTTTGAAATACTTTGACATAAGCATAAATAGATCTACCTACTTTTTTAAAGGCCACATAGAATTTCATGGTATAGATGGATCATAATTTATTTAATCAGTCCCCTTTCGATGGACAGCTTTTTCTCTCTCATAAACAATGCAGCTATTACAGCAATGGACCAAGTGAAAATCATAAGCTAGGTGTTTGTATTCATATATTGTGTCTTAGCTGAAAGAGGCTGTGAATAATATACAGTATCCTGTTTGTATCTAAAGGGTCTGAGTTTGTGCACATGTGAATGTGTGCTAAAAATAGTGTGGAAAATACTTGTCTGTTAGCAAAAGTTATTTCTGCAACTTGGGATCATGGGGTCAGTTTCACATTTGCTGTGTTGTATGAATGTTTTACCATGATCAGGTTTCATCAGGGAAAATAATAAAGATATTTCCATTTTGGGAAAAAAAAAAAGTTCTTACCCCAAAAAGGATTAGCCTGGACTTACCCTCTGGAATGTCCTAGATCAAAGACATCCACTTCTCTGAACACCACTTCACTGAATCCTGTCTTGGGTCAGTGGCCTTAATGACCTCAGTGTGTAGTTTTTCCCCTGAAGGAGCCTGGCTTTCATCTCTACTGGGAGAGATAGATGTCTCAGCTATTATGGCCTTAAGCTGGAAGGAAGGAATCTGGATTACCTAATTCAATATGCTTGTGCCGTTCTGCCCTGTCCTGTGCCCAGATAAACGACAGACTGAAGACGGGGCTGGGTCTCCACCACTGGAGACGGAGCTCTGCTGAGCCATTTTTGCATCTTCCCCAGACCTCAGAGGCTGGTACTAGGAGGTGGACCTCATTTTGTGCAGAGCTACAGTGGGGAGGTTCCTGTCTGTCCTGCAGAGGTGAGAACAGGCCAGACCCAGTGAGGATTGTGTAGTCGATTAAAGAGCATGGCCAGCACTTCATGTCGTGCAGCCTTCTTAATGATGCCCTCCTTCTGTCTGGTGCCAGGTGGCCTCCTGCTGTCCTCCTGTCTCTTATCATGAACAAAGCGGGGAGAGCGTTAGTCTCATGAGCTCTTTCCCGGGGGTTTCGGGCATCTCAGCCTTGCTGCTCTTTTCTGGGTGGAAATCCTGCCTGATGATGGATATGCTGCTCCCTGGTAGCTGGAACATGTTTTACCCATGGCCCTGGAATTTTAGTCTCACGCCTAATAAGTGCTCAACAACTTTTTCTGGGATGGATTTGATTTTGATTTGGGGAGATGTATTACTTTTCTTTTATTTTTTTAATTGAATTTTTGTTTATTTATTTCTTTCTTTTTGGCTGCGTCGGGTCTTGGTTGCGGGATCTTCAATGCAGCATGTGGGATCTTTCGCTGTGGCGTGTGGGCTTCTCTCTAGTTGTGGTGTGAGGGCTCAGTAGTTGTGGTGCGCCGGCTTAGTTGCCCCGCGGCATGTGGGATCTTAATCCCCCGACCAGGGATCGAAGCCACATCCCCTGCATTGGAAGGTGGATTCTTAACCACTGGACCACCAGGGAAGTCCCAGTGTATTACTTTTCTGTTGCTGCAGTAACAGATTACCACAAATTTAGCAGCTTAAAACAATACAAATTTATTATTTCACAGTTTCTGTGAGTTAGAAGTCCAGGTAGAGTCAACTGAGAACTCTGCTGAGGAACTCACAAGGCCAAAACCAGGGTGTGGGTCAGCCTAGGCTCTTATCTGGAGGCTCTGGGGAGATTCCACTTCCAGGCTCATTCAGGTTGTTGGCAGAATTCAGTTCCTTGTGGCTGTAGGACTGAGGTCTCCATTTCCTTGACGTGTGCCACCCTGTCATCTTCAGGCCAACAATGGCACGTCATCTCCATCTTCTTCTGTTACCAGCCAGAGAAAGATCTCTGCATTTGCTTTTAAAGTCTCAGGTAATTAGATTAGACCCACCTCAGTAATCAAGTATAATCTCCCTATCTTAAAATCAGCTGAGTAATTACCCTAATTACATCTGTAGAATCCCTTTGCTACATAAGGTAACATATTTGTGGGTAACATGGGGAGGAAGGCCATAGGATCAAGGTCATGTGCTGCATGCCACAGGAAGGCATCTGATAACTAGGGTATTTGGAGCATGTGCACAGGTATGGGTAGAATCGAATCCCCCTCTCTTCCTGACCCATGTGGAGGCCTCTTCTGGTCCCTCGTTAGTCCCTCTGAACTGGTGCTGTCCATGCAGTTTGTGGGTGGAAAGTGAGGGTCCCTTTCCTCTCTCCTGGCACCGTGGGCTCTGCTTCTGCAGGGAATGGTTCGTTGAGGCCCTTCCCTGCCTGCCTCGGCACAGCCTGGACACACCCTCAGTCTGCTTTCTCTTTTCCTGCCAACCTCCAGGTATTACAGATCATGGTCTCCTTCTAGGAGAGTCCTTCCTCTCCATCCTCCCTCTCGCCCTGGGAATGGACATGGGATAGACCCATCAGACACAGGGCCCCCTTTCCCTTCCAGGGAATGGACACCAACTCAGCTGCTCTAAGCTCTGTTTATAATTGAAAGGGGGGCGGGGTAGTCCTGCACCTTCTGGCTTCCTAGAAGCATCTTTAACTTTTGTTTACTTCCAGGACTGGAGATCACCCCTCATGTGTATACTCTTCCCGTCACTCTTCACTCATCCCCATCCTGCTCTCTTCACCCCTCCACCAGGGCAGTTCCCTCTTCATTGGTAACTTTTAGAAACTTTCTGTGTTGATGAAAACAGCAGTTGTGTATGGTCACAGAAGAGATAGGATGGGGGCTTCCCTGGCGGCGCAGTGGTGGAGAGTCCGCCTGCCGATGCAGGGGACGCGGGTTCGTGCCGGGTCCGGGAGGATCCCACATGCCGCGGAGCGGCTGGGCCCGTGAGCCATGGCCGCTGAGGCCGGGGCTCCGGAGCCTGTGCTCCGGGGCGGGAGAGGCCAAAAAGGGGAGAGGCCCCCCGAAAAAAAAAAAAAAAAAAAAAAAAAAAGATAGGATGATGGCTTTTTTCACAATTTGTATAAGTGATTTCATTTAATTTTTTAAAAACTATAAAATAATACATACACATGACAAAATAAAATTGAAACAATACACTAAAAAGTAAGTAGGTGCCTCTTCTTGTCCTCTATTCTTCTATGTTGGTGGCTTAGGGGCAGGATTCTTTTTTCCGCTGTAGTGTGTGTGTGTGTGTGTGTGTGTGTGTGTGTGTCTGTCTGTCTGTCTCTCTGTCTAGCCTCCCTCTGTCCACGCTCTTCCCTTCCTTTCCTGTCCTGGCTAAGATACACAGCCTTTACTCCTACCCAGGATATCTCGTTCCACAGTAGAGAGGTAGGGAGGTTTCCCACTTATGTTCTGTGGCGTGAGGCTTTAGATTTCAGCAGTAGCTCTCAGCTTCTTTTGATACCACGGGGCAGCTGGCATCCCCAGGGACCTTCTCAGGTGGCCTGCAGGCCTTACCGACGGTCACTGGCAACTTAGACTAAAACTTGAGGCCCACTCAGTCCTAAGCTCATTTCCTCACTTGGATCTGCAAAGGGGAGAGGGCCCTCACCCACCAGAGAGTAACGTGTAGAGACTTCTGAGAGATTTGCTTTGGGCCTACCAAGGTTGAGCTGATGCCAGGTACATAGTAAGAATTATGAAGTGGATGTTTGTGGGCGGCGGATGGAGATTTGGAGAGAAGCAAGGCTCTTGATCCTCACTGAGACACCGTTCCATATCACATTGCACATTATGGGGTCACCTGTTGGTTTCCGCTCTCTCGCTAGATGATAAACCCCTAAGGGCGAGGACATGCCTAACCTAGCTTTGGTTTCCCTGTATTGCTTAGCACAGACCTTTCACCTCATAGCTTTGCAATAGAATTTTCCCCACTGAATGAATCAATCAATAAGCTAGTTGTTATCTTTGAGTAGAAAGTGGGGCAGGAAAAAAGCTTGAGGAGAGAAATTGAAAGAAAATGTAGTGATTGCTAACAGTAGGAGGCAGTCTTGAGATTCGAGTTTTGCTACTAGGACTCTAAAGGAGCCTACTTTTAACCAAAGTCCTGGAAAGGTCGAGAATTAGCAGGCTGTAACCTCTTCCTTTTTTCTTCTGTGGATATTCATGTCAGCTTTCTGCCCAAGGAACAAACCCATTCCATTGTGATTCTTCTATAGCTAGTGGATTTCGCTTCAAAGGAAGCTCCATCACCCAAGGTGGACAGGGGAATACAGAGGAGCCCTCTGTGTCCTGGTCTAGAGATGCCAGGGAGGGCGGTATCTTGGTGGTCTGGAGACCACCAAGTGAAGTCTGCTACCGCAATTGGTCATTGGAGATGCTTTGCCAGCCTGACAAGAGAAGATTTGGGAGGTGAAGCCAGAAGGTTAGGAGGCAGGAAGGTTTTCAAAGGCTGCGTCAGCATGGATGGGGCACACGGGAAAGATCCTGAAGAACAGGAAGCTCAGTAGCAGGCTGGCCAAAGAACAAAGGGTCTCTGGCAGCCCAGAAGGATTGCTCAGGATCTAACATTCTCCCCCCCCACACCCCCGTCCAGCCTGGGGCAGGCTCTTACGGTTGGTCCTACACTGTGAGGGTGTGACTGTGGGCAATTAGCCTCTTGTACCTATGTCTGCACAGAAGTACAACCTCTATCTGTAAATTAGATGCCCGCAGAAATTCCACTTCTGGGCATTTTCCTAAAGGCACGTTAGCATAGGTACATAAAGAAGCATGCTCCAGGAGATTCACTGCAGCTCTCTTGTAGTAGCCAAAGATTGTAACCTTTTGTAAATATCCATTCATGGGGGTCTGGGTAGATGCTCACGCCCCCATGCACAGCCATTAAGAAGAGTGAATAATAAGAACCTGCTGTATAAAAAAATAAATGAAATAAAATTAAAAAAAAAAAAAAAGAAGAGTGAGGCCTGGGGAATTCCCTGGCGGTCCAGTGGTTAGGACTCCGTGCTTTCACTACCAGGGCCCGGGTTCGATCCCTGGTTGGGGAACTAAGATCCCGCAAGCCACATGGTGCAGCCAAAAAAAAAAGAAATCCCCAAAGTGCACTGTTAATCGTGTGTGTGCAGTAGGGGGAAGCAAGGCGTAGGAGGGGGTGCAGCGAATGCCGCTAGGTGAGCATGGGGGACATTACGGGAGTCATATGTACCCACACAATTGTATATCTTAGCCCTAATCCACTTCTGGAAGGATGCACAAGACACATGCTGCTTATGCTTTTGGAAAAGCATCCAGGATGGGAAGGAGACTCTGCTATATACTCTTTTGGACTTCTAGAATTTTTTAAACTATGTGCACGCATGACCTATTTTTTACAAAACCCGTCTTTTACATAATAAACAAAAGAGCAGCAGTGTGACAGAACCCCTGGGATTATCTGTGAATCTTGGGTTGATGCCTGAGCTTTGCAGGTTCATTTGTCCCTTGGGGCTGACAAATACTTGTTTTCCAGACCAAACTTCCTTCACTGTTCATCACCAGAGTGTTCAATTACGGGAGAATCACACCTCTGTTCCTTCAGCTCCTTCTCTTTTCTGGCTGTGAAACATTAAGCAATCTTGACATGAAAGTGTCCTATAGTTGCTAAGGGAATATTCAGGAAGGGCCTGCCAGAAGAGAAGGCCGTGAACTAGGACAAGGAGAGGAGGAGGGGGTGGGGCCGCTGATTGGAGTGACATGAGAGTTAAAGGGCTCTGAAATGACTTGCTAGAAATTGCTCTTTGTTTGGGCTCTTATCAGGGAGGATGCCTGGGAGGGGTTTACTTTTCTGATTCCTCAGACTAGCCCAGGTGTCACTTTCCTTCATCGCATCTGTTTTAATGGTACCCAGACTTTGTTTTCAGGTCTGGTAAGACATGCAGACACAGAAATGACTATCATGAAGGAATAAGTTTGTTATATTCACAGATCCCTAGAGGTACAGCCCGCTGCACAGAGCCACATGGGGAAGCACGGGGCTGATCAGGAAGCAGAGGCAGTAAGTGTGGGCAAGAGACTGTATTGTGGTTTCCATGGGAGAGGCAGTCTCTCCAGAGTCAGCAAGGTCCCAAGATGTCAAAGCATCAGAGTACAGAAAATTTTAAAATATGGTTAATACACATCCGGCCTGCCAAGTATGGTTGCACAGGTTGTTCATAGCACAAGATGTCTGGCCAAGGAGGCGAGTGGAGCTGAAATTCGGATGAAGCCCTGTTTGCAAGCCATGTGCTCCCAGGACTGCATCCAGCTGAAGGACTTGGCTTTTTCTCACACGTGCAGAGGCACCACGTGGGTCAGCAGAGGCCCGTGATGGCACTCATCTCAGGTTGCTATTCTATATTAATCGTGATGATTTGAGCAATCTCTGTTTCCTTGACTGGACTACCAGTTCCAAGGACGCCAGAACCTTGTCTATGTTTCCCGCTAGACTGGAAGCTCCAAGAGAGCAGGGGTCAGGTCTTCTTTGCTTCCCACTGTCTCCTTGGTGCTCAGCACCGGCTGCCACGTATGGGTGCTGGGTGAGTGTTTATGGGATGCATAAACACATGGCACGCAGGACTTTAAACTTCAGAATCGTATGTTATCTGTATCCTGAACTCTTCTTTCTTCCGGCACCAAAAAGATCAAGACCTTTTTGCCTGCTGTTGGTTTCTTTAATTAAATTTAATTTTTTAAATTGAAGTAGAGTTGATTTACAACGATGTGTTTGTTTCAGGTGTAAGCAAAGTGATTCAGTTATATATATTTTTCAGATTCTTTTCTCTTATGGGTTATTACAAAATGTTAAGTATAGTTCCCTGTGTTATACAGTAGGTCATTGTTGGTATCTATTTTATATATAGTAGCATGTATATATTAACCCCAAACTCCTAATTGATGCCTCCCCTCCTCCCCGCCAGCCTGCTGTTGGTTTGAATAGGGTGAGTAGCATCCTCTTTCCTGGCAAGAGTTGGGCTCCCGTCCCTGCCTTTTGGGGACTAAGAAGATAGCCGAGGAGGGGAGGCTTTCACTCTCAGTCTGGCGATTCTTTGTCAGCTCCGCCCTACTGTAAATCCCTACTGTAAATCCCTACTGTAAATCCTGTGTTTGTGCCTTCGTGGCCTCCAGTGAAGAGTGAATGACCGGGAAATTGGGCACGGCTGGTTGTGGCATCTGGGCCTACAGGAGCCCCGGCTCCAACCGAAATGAGCAGAGCTCGGACGGAAGCTCCAGCTGTTGTCAAGCACGGTCATAGGGTGATTGCTGGAGAGACCCCAGGTCCCTGGCTTGCTTGACAAGGAAAGAAAACACGAACCGGCTTTGGGAATTCCCTGGCGGTCCAGTAGGTTAGGACTCAGTGCTTTCACCGTTGAGGGTCCAGGTTCAATCCCTGGTTGGGGAACTAAGATCCCACAAGCTGAGCCGTATGGCCAAAGAGGAAAAAAACAAAAAATGAACTGGCTTTCAAGAGGCCTTGGGCTTGTGCCTCGGATGTGCTTGTGTGTGCATACACCTTCATGGGAATCTGGGGGCCAGGCGGCCCTGTGCAGGCAGGAGAGGTGTCTGTGCCCCCAGGTCTCATGTTTCAAAGGCTCAGGGCGGAGTTGCTGAGAACCTAATGGAATGTGTATTTTCTCGTCTCTCTCCAGGTTTCCATTCTATTATGAACTAAAAATAGCATTTGTAGCCTGGCTGCTGTCTCCCTACACAAAAGGCTCCAGCCTCCTCTATAGGAAGTTTGTACATCCCACGCTGTCCTCAAAAGAAAAGGTAATTTATGTTGCTCTGCCTTGCACTCCTTCCAGCGAGTGAAAAAATTTTAAAAAGTGATTAAAAAAAAAAAGGCAGGTTGTTTTATTGCAGGAGGCTCTAAATTGACTCTTATTTCCCCCGTCCAGCATTCGTTCCTTCTAATCTTTCTTTTTTAAGTCTATTTTTATGACCTGTTTAGAAATAGTGGTGAAATTCTCCAAAGGATGTTATTCATCATTATTTATTGTAAAACATTGCCATACATTGAAACAAAAAGCAGAAAAGATTCACTCGTAATTCAACTCCCCAAACTGAATTTCCTTCCTTTCATCAGGCTCAGCCCCTATCCTTTCGCAGATAGGATTTTTACATAGACTATTAAAATACTTTAAAAACTTAACATAAACAGGAACGCTGAAGCCTAGAGAGATTAAATGATTTGAACTTGTACCCAGATAGCTACTAAAAGAGACTGGAATATAATACATTTCTAGTATGTTTGCTTTATTGCTCAATGATAAAATGTATGCTACCAGTGAAATACCTGCTACTTTAGTAATTATCAGTCAATAAGTATTAATGAGAAGAGTCATAATAATTTGTTTCATGCTGTTTATCTTTTGTGTTTGTTTCGCTTCAAAGTACTTCACATACATCCTTGAAATGAAAATGCAGGTTTGTCTATTGTCAGAGATGGAAAACATAAGATAGGGAGAGATTGCAGGAAGGGGTCAACAATAACTAAGGATTCAAGGGGGAATTACAACTTACACCTCTTGAAAAGAAATTTAAGCTACTTATAAGATAATGTCACTGTCTATAAAATTATTTTTTGTTTAACATCTCCACTGAACCTAATTTGCCGGATTTGTTTTCAATGGATTGTTCCATTGTTTTCTTAAGATCTCATACAGTAATAGATGCCGAGACCACTAAAATAAACATGACCTCTGTCTTATTAATTGGTTTGGTAGCTCCTTTTTAAAGTTCAATCCAGTCTGTGAAATGTTTCTTTAAAATAAAATTTTAAGCGTACATTAAAAAAAAAAAAGCCACTCCAAACCAAGAGGCAACAACAAAAAAGCTGAGCAGATGCAATATTTATCTTCTGAGATCTTAGACATGATGGCATAGCATCCTTTTTCACTTGGTCTTCCTAATGACCCACGACAATCACCACACATAGTATATAGTTCCTTCTGTTGACTTCTTATCTTAGAATAAATTCTCAGGACTGGGATTACTGGGTCCAACATTGTATAACTCATTAATGATATTATATGACTTTCTAAACTGATTGTGTGGTCGGATCCTACAGTATGAATTAGGAGCACTGTTGGTGGCTTGATACATTCATTTCTATTGCTTCTGAAAGTTGGATACTTTGGACTTCCAGGGGAAGCCTTTGAGTATATCGGTTGAATGAGCAGGCTCCTGTAGACGTTTCTGAGAATCTGTTTAGGAACTAGGACACACTTCCCGTCTCAGAGAGTGGATTTTGAGGAATGGTAATCCCTGTCTCGACCTGGTTATCAAATCTCTATTCTTCCTACTTCCCTTTCTCCAAACGCTGGACTTACCCTGAAGCTGCCAGTGTAATTTCCATTGAAACGAAGGTGACTGACTCTTAAGCGCTGCCAAGAATCACTTCTGGAGTCGGCCAGGGGTCGCAGTGGAAACTTAGTGTGGTGACTTCTTGAAGAAGCTTAAACAAGGACAAGGCAGGGGGTTGACTGCCCACCTGCATACCCCAAAGCAGGAAGGAAGTGCACCGATGTGCTGAACTTCAAATGAAATGCAGGGCAAGTGTCATTGACTGAACTCTGCAATGAGCTCCTGTGATTCCAAAACAACTGTTTTCTTAAAACAGTGACAACAACCACCCAAACCAAACAAACAAAAAGAATGAGCCAACGTTGATTCAAATTTGAACAGAACCAATATCTTACTTGGTCTCGGTCCCTGAAGTAGATGTCAATCCTCTTTCCCACCTCACCTTTACCTTGTGGTATGATGCTGGATGACTTCTAATTTCTGCTTTTATTTTGTTATCTGTAAAATGATCTTCTCTATCAACAAAAATAACACCTATTTCTTTCTATGTCCTAATCCCTCCCATCGATATATACATGGCGAGGGATTTGGGTATCGTATGAAATAACTATGGAATAACAGAATTTCAGAGCTGCTGGGGCCTGACCTCCTTGAGATAAGGAAGATGACAATGGTTCTTGGTTATTGAAACCAGCCACTGTGTCAGGTGCTTTTCTGGAATGATTGCATGTAATCCTCACCTTGCTCCACAAGTTAGGTGCTACCAGGGTCCTCATTTTTCAGAAGACAGAACCATGAATAGAGGCTAAGTTCTTGCCCAGGTCTGACAGCCAGTTAGTGGCAATGCCAGAGAGAATGAGTGATTGGGCACAAGCCCCCAAGCTCAGCGCCCAGGAGAAGGGAGAAAGAACAGAGATTTATTTGAGCTTTCCAACTCAGTGTGCCTCTGTTTTCCTTTGACAGGAAATCGATGATTGCCTGGTCCAAGCAAAAGACCGAAGTTATGATGCCCTTGTGCACTTTGGGAAGCGAGGCTTGAACGTGGCGGCCACGGCGGCGGTGATGGCTGCTTCCAAGGTACCATGCTGGGACCTGACCACCATGGCTGTAACTTGCCCAGAGACAGGCTAAGGACCGATCAGGTTCCTCATCCCTTTTGGGGTCCCATTGAAAATCTGAGGGGAAAAAGGGTGAATCTTGCCCCCAGAAAACTGCACACCCCCACACACAAATGATTTATGCAATATTGAGAGGTTCCTAGAGCCCCTGAAGCTCATCTGTGGGTCTCAAGAACCTCTAAAGTACTTGGAGTGTAATCCTTGGATGCAGAGAAGAGAGAAGGGGAGGAGAGGGAGCTCTTCTCTGCAATTTCCTAGGGTGCATTGGGAGAGTCACCTAAATAGACAGGTGCAGAGACTTATTACCTGAGTGAGTGGGTGCACTCCATGCTCACATGGACCCACAGATCCAGGGGAAGGAACCCAGGGTCCTAGAATAAGTTGAGTGGTTGAAACCGGGAGGATGATGATATGTGTAGCAGCAGTAACTAGAGGTAGAGGAGGTTTGAAATAAATACTGGTCTTGTGGGATATTGTGATATAAGCAATTACTTCTTTTTTCCACCCAGCCCTGTTCAAAGACCCTCTGTGTTCCTTCCCAGCTTCCTCTCCCATTACATTCTCCTTGTCGCTTTGTCGATTTCTCGTTATGTGCTCAGCCCTGAAAAATTAAACTGGTAGATGTTTACTCTCAGAGCAAATTCAGCAGATTGCCCTAGTGTTTCCTGGTGACAACACCTTCCTCCAAATCCAGAGGTACAGTAGGGGTCTACAGTTGGCTGAGGGTGGAGGAAAGGCAGTTATGCTTATGTCTGGAGAGATACAGTGGTTGGGAGGTGAGCTGTATTAGCAAAGGGAAGCTATGAATCCTGGGTGGCAATGTGAGGGTTTGGGGGAAAGAGAGGGTAGAGCTGTGGAAGGGTTTGGAAGAGGACAATTAATACAGATCTTCGTGCTCCATGGGCTCCCAGTGGATGGTGGGATGGAGGGTGTTGATAGCCAGTTGGGTCAGGGGACTGAGCTGGGTTTTCTGGGCACTGAACCAGGGAGAGGCACTTTAGGAGCATTTCTGGGAGAAAAACTTAGCACACAGGGCTGGGAGTTTGAAAAGCACCTTCCACATAAAGTCAAGGAGTTCTGCAGACAAAGGCTGGTGGGGAGACAGGAGAACCAAAGGGGAGTGATTCCTATTTCAGAGAAGGACCAGGTGCTTCTGTAACACAGAACCATAGTGAAGTGTTCCGCTGGTACCTGGAGGGTCCCTGTCCACCTTAGGTACAATAGTAGCTGGCAAAGTGATGAATCCCAATGAGTATCATTGGAGGGGAAATTCCGCTTTGGTATCTGGAGGAGATGTATCAGGATTTACAAAGAGCAGTGAATTCTAAGATCCTTCTGTTTGAGATGCAGTCGTTTTAGGCTTTTGTGTTTAAGCTGACAGAAAAGAGAACTCAGAATTGCTAAACTCTGAATTCATCAGGCTAACTTTGCCACATAAAGCTACAGAAGCCTCCCAGGCCCTCTCCCCACCCCATCTTTGCTTCTGCACCTGAAGGAATATAGGTTACTGCTCTTTTCTCAGCTCAGTTGTAGAGTATCAGTGTGGTATATTTATCAGGGTGGCTCAGTACCGGTCACCAGGCCACTCAGCCGTGTGTGTAAATTATATTCTTATGGTAATTCTGTAGGGCCATCCTTTTCCAGGTCTGCCTCAAGCTAGAACCTCCTGAGTCTTGATACCATCTTGGCCAGTCACCGCCAGTCCCTCTGACCACCGGGGAAGCCCGTGAGCCTAGGCCTCCAGCCGGGCACCTTACAACTAACCTGAAGGAAGCTCTAGATAGTCTGAAACTTGCCTCAGAAAATAGCTGCTCATTAGTTCTTTCTAGTTGGGCTAAAGTAGTGAGGGACGCCTGCTTCCTGCTGAATTTGGTTTCAGACAAGAAAATTTTCTGCCTTGTGGGGGCTTTGCTTTTCCTCTCTAAATATCTTGAGAGAGAAAACACTCTTCTTTCCCCAAAATAATGCCCTCTGTTTTTGAAACAGATGTGTACTTTAAAAAAGAAAAGAAAAGAAAAAGAAGTAAAATTCAACCTGGCTGAGGGATAGATCAGTGGTTTCCATAGTAACAATGGACCACTCCAGGCCGCGGCCAAAGGATGATACGTTACCACTGGGTTCAAATCTGGCTTTAGTATCCAAACCACCTGGGAAGCTTTGTTTTTCATTTTTAAACAGATTCTCAGATGTGCTGAATCAGAATCTCAGGCAGTGAGCCCTTGAATCTCTATTTTTAACAAGTTCCCCAGATGATTTTTAAACAGCCAACTCGGACTCCCCTGGTGGCTCAGTGGTTAAGAATCTGCCTGCCAATGTAGGGGACACGGGTTCGAGCCCTGGTCCAGGCAGATCCCACATGCCGCGGAGCAACTAAGCCTGTGCACCACAACTACTGAGCCTGCGCTCTAGAGCCAGCAAGCCACAACTACTGAGCCTGTGTGCCACAACTACTGAAGCTCCTGCGCCTAGAGCCCTTGCTCCCCAACAAAGAGAAGCCAGCTCGATGAGAAGCCCTTGCACTGCGACGAAGAGAAGTCCCCGCTCACCGCAACAAGAGAAAGCCTGCGTGCAGCAACAAAGACCCAACGCGGCCAAAAATAAATAAATAAATATATTTTAAAAAATAAGTAAATAAAACAAACAGCCAACTCTTTACAGGTCGCTGCCTGAGGGCCCATCCAGAACCATACACCACAGGTGATGAGGGTTAAAACAGGTAACTTTTTTAACATTCCTGGAATGCAGATTTAGCTCCTTACAAGCATTAACCTTGAGAATGAGAAAGCTGCGTCCAGAACAACCTTGTCGATTACCCCCAGGGGAGCAATCAAACCAATTTTGTGAAAAAAAGACACTCTGCCCAGTCACAGTGGCTAGGGTGACCATATACTGTTCAAACAGGACACATCTGAGAGTGAAACGGTGCTGTAATTATTACGCTGGGACAACAGGTAGAAACTAGGTCTGTTCCAAGCAAACCGGAGTTTATGGTCGCCCTACTCATGGCTCCATTTTACATCTCTTGGACCCTGCCTGTCTCCTCCCAGAAAACACCCTCAGCCTACAAGTTCTTACTGTAAATATCCACTACATTTAGCCAAACAGCTGCAGGAGAGAGGGTGAAGGGACTGAGAGCCTCCCTCTGAGTTCAGACAGATTGAAGGGAGGCTGGGACCAGGTGACCGGATGAGGGCGGTCACTCCTTTGTCATCTGCTGTATTTTCCATCCTTTGATGGCTCCCCAGGAGGAAACTGCAGAACTTAACCAGAAGAATGAAAGATCTTCTGCCTACACTTTTAGTTAATCCTTTTTTTCCTTATAACTTTGGACCCAGAGCCCTTTCTCTAAAAAAATGAATGTTTGCAGGGTTTTTGGATCATCATGAAGTGTGAAGAAGCTTTGTAAACCATATCATTGTACAAATATAAGTTGTTATTAATGTTAATGTTTTATCTTAGAATAGAAAAGCTAAAACAAACAAACAAAATTACACGTTGGAAATTTCTCCCCAGGCCTATTAACCCCCAGCCCATCCCTCAGTTTTCCCCAAGGTCTAATCCTTGTCCCCGGGAAGTAGTGATACATTTTTTCTTTCAGCAAAAGCTGCTCTGTCTCCTTCCTAGGGACACACATCGGTAGTACCTTCTTTCTAAGTGTCCCTAGTCTCTTGGCTGGCTCTGAGCTTAGATATTAGCTGTTTCCCAGCCAGTAATTCCACCCAGAGGGAAAATTGAGCCCCACGTCTTTTTAAGACTAGAATTGGAAATCTCTCGCTTTTTAAAATTAATACTCTAGAAACTCATTAGTTAAGCAAAACACATTCTCACGGGAAGAGAAACAATAGTGAGAAAAACCAATTGATCAAGAGTTTTAAAACTGTCAGGTAGTTTTAAAACTGACTTCCCTGGCGGTCAAGTGGTTAAGACTACGCCTTCTAATGCAGGGGGTGTGGGTTCGATCCCTGGTCGGGGAACTAAGATCCCACATGCCTCGTGGCCAAAAATTAAAAACATAAAAAAAAACCAGAAGCAATATTGTAATAACTTCAATAAGGACTTGAAAAATGGTCCACATAAAAAAAATCTTCAAAAAAATCCCCCCAAACTGTGAGGTATCCAGGCCACCTTATTCCCCTTGACATTTGAACCATATCCTAGGTCTCTTCCACCTTCCCACTTCTCAGGCCTGGTAAACCAATCTTGCTTTTGACCTGTCTCATAACTTGAAAAATAATGCCCTTTTACTTTCCCTGGAGATCCTATCCCAAGAACGGTTCCAGTGCTGACAATAGTGTTATTAAAGTCACCTGTTTAAGACAGCTGGTCCAAGTAAAGCTGGCGTTCTGTGAATTAGGGATGCTTCTTCCCCAGATTGCGTGTGGGCTTTTTCCCCCCTAGAATCTAGTATTTCCTGTTAGATCGTGAGCTTCTGGCCATGAGTGACTCTGGATTCTTTTCCTTTGTTTCTTGCTTAGAAAAAACCCAAAACCAAACTTTGCTAACTTGTCTGGTGTTTTGCACTCATTAAACCTTGTTGATGGATCTGAAGAATAAACTTTTTGCTGCCTCCAATCCTGCTCTGCCCAAAATGGTAGCCACTTGCCGCGTGTGGCTATTTAAATTAATTGAAATTAAGTAAATTTTAATATTCAGTCTTTACTCACCCGCTTTCAAGTCCTCGGCAGCCAGTGTGGCTGGTGGCTGACACAGGGATAGAACGTTCCCACCATCGCAGAAAGGTCTCTTGGGCAGCACTGTCCCAAGCCTTCTGTTAAGCCTCTTGGGTTCTCCTTTGCCTTATTTCCATCTTCTCGCCTGCAGTGCTCTGCTTTGACAAGGGCCCCTCCCTTACCCACTTGGCCCTTTGGGGCCTCTGTATATGAGGTTCACGAGGAAAACGGGCAGATGGAGACTCAGCCTACGGCATTGCCCATGGTGGATCTTTCCATTTCTTCATCT